CCCGTAGTACTCGGTTCCTGATGAAGAGAACGACGAATCCAAGAGTAGGCTGTTTGATATTTGGCGTTGTTCACATTTGCTACAAACTGCCATTCATCACCGTCGACGAAAGCGCCCAAAATTCGGTCACGAATATCTGATGAGACACTCTGTCGAACGTCAGAATGCATGCCGACGACGTCAGAATCATAGACATGGTTTCGGTCGTGCGCTTATGTTCCAGCTGTTCATTGCTCTCAGACCAATTGTGATCTATCGTTTCGGACATGAGGGGGCGCATACAAGACCGTTGCACCGTCGAAGTGCATTCCTCCAAGGTTCATTCACAAGTCTCACCCAGTCAACGAGCAGCGCGCTCACCTCCCCAGACTAACGCACCGAACCTTGGCATCCGGCCAATGAGAACACACTTAAGGTCAGAGGATTGGCTCTGAGCGGCTGGCGAATCGCACAGGGTTTTGCAACATTATGGACTTTCTTTGCAAAGTTTTGGACCTTCTTTGCAAAATTTTTGACTTTCTTTGCAAAATTTTGGACTTTCTTTGCAAAATTTTGGACATTTATGCAACTTTGCGGGAAATGCTATAGTTTGCGATTTCGTTCCTGGAAAGTCTAGAATATAACATGAAAAAGGCCTTCTGGAGGAATGACGCCAAAGTTGAAGTCAATTGCTCATCTTTGTTGCGGACCATCACCCAATGAACACAAGGTAGCTTCCTTACTCCTGCTCCGTTTTAGTGACTAGTAAGCTTGGACCCGAATCCCCTACGCAATGATCTCATAAGTATAGGAAAGCAACATGTGTCTCAGATCGGTGAAGGGTAAAGCTCAGGTTCTTAGCATCCCCAAAATCCGCTGAGGAAGTGCGTGACTTAGGCAGCATTGCAGCCATGAGTAAGTCAGTGACAATTAGATACCCATGGTGTACCTTAACTAGATCATAACTGCTGATCATCAGCTTAAAATGATGGCGTCAGGTAGCAGCAGTACGCCGGTACGCTGTATTCAGGTTTTGATGCTTTATGCTACGGGCCGGCAAAAATGAGAGCCTACGCCATTAATTCAAGCTTATTATTAAAGCTTGACTGGTAGATGGGAGGTGATGGAATTACTTACTAGAGCTTGAACGGTTTTTCTTGGTTTTAAAAATTGACGATCATATCCAGGAGAAACGCTTCAAAGTATTAAAGACCGGCTACTCAACGGAAATGAATGACCATAACCAATCACATTAGCGTAGTCAATCAAGACCGACGGTCATTATAACAAATACAACCCATACCACACCTAGCTGTACTCAAGCACTATTGTGCTCAATTTTCCCAATATACCCCCGTTGTTTATCAAAACTTGCAGTGGTATCGGCTCCGAGAGTTGAGGGTGACATGTGTGGTAGCTGCCGATCTCAAGGTGTCCCGTTTGTACCGCATTCTGTTCATGCGCGTACGGTATTTTATTGCGTTTTCCTTGTAGTACCATTCCAACCAACCAACCAACTAACCAAACAAACAACAAATCAACCAACCACCTAACTAATCAAACAACGCGACCTGCATCATCATCTATCGCGTCCAGTTAGTTAGCGGAAGCGAAAAGTGCGACATCTAACTTAGGTACTTCACGGAAAACCAAGAGCTCAACACACACTGGTTCATAATTCGACACCGAATTTATCAAAATTCCGATGTACAACATTCAAATGCAGAACCAAATAGCCCATGCTTTGTGTTTGAAGAAAAAAGCGATCACCAGGACTGTAAACAATCTCGGATTTGCGGAGATGAGGTCCACCACCGATAAAATTGGAGAAAATTTGATCAGTGATTGATCCGACCGGTTTCCAAATTGCAACTTCCAGCTGAAATCCAGAAGGAGACATAATGGTTAGAATCCGCTAACCTCATGATAACCAGGTGAGGTAGGCACATGACAAAAACCGTATCCGTACAAATCGTTTCGACCGACCCAATCGTAATGCCATAGTTGAAAATGCAGTTTTGGCCAACCTAATTGGTAGAAGAGTGTGAATAATGGCACAAATGAATCACCCTTACCTTGTAGTCCTTTGGTGGCGAAGTGTAAGTCTATGGGATGACAGAAATAGGATTTCTCTCCAATCTTCGGACAATCCACTTGTGTTTGACCCTCCGAAACACCTTCAATGAGCCGCCAAGATTCACCTTATACCACTAGTTCGAGCAGTTCAAATTTCACTTACCAGCGTTTATCCCCCACTTGCAAAACAAATCCACATTCGGAAACCCATGAGCGTAATTGATCTGTCCGATCACATGTAGCTCAGCCATGGATTATAGCGTGGTTTACGCAAGGTCGATAATCACCATACTGTCCAGATTAACTCAACGCGATAGGTCATTGGGTTGGTTAGCTGTAAAAGATCAGAACAGTAACGAACAACAAGTAAAATCTTTTTTGCACTCGTCGAACAAACGTAAGTCTACTAGCATATTCGTCGGTGTCTGACCGGGGAGACTAAAAACCACAGATAACTACGAACAGACTCATACATCCTCGAGTAACTGATTTGGTTCCTCAGTGAGTGCTGTTGCTGTCCGTCTGCTTTTGATTCTCCCGCAGCCTGGGTGCAAAAGCAAGGCCAATGTCTGCTGACGTAGTCCTACGAGATTTGTAGCGTCCTGAGGTAAGGTACCAGTGACAAAGTGTTGTTCAGCATCCTATTCGTAGCGATTCCATACGCACGACTGAATTCCGATGAAGAGTATAGCCATCCAGTTAGGTTTAGAAGGGACCAGCTTACAGGCCAATTTGTAAGACAATGAAACATCAACTAATGCTGATCAAATGGTTTCAAACATTCCTTTCGTAAATATGTGCAAACGTATCCGACTGGTAGACGAAAACAACCTACTTTGCGAAGAATCAAATGTGGTGCAGACGAGTTGTGTACTACAGAACCCATGTCTACATAACATAGTAGTTCGAACATAGGAACTTGGGTCCATTGACCCACTTTCTTCGTGGTACCTTTCGGAATTTTAGTTCTGCTGCGCCCATTCAATCGCAAATTATCGGTAAACGATGCTTTATGAACCGCGCGTCCATCGTCCAGGGCGATGTCTGATTTATCTTAATTACTTGCTCTTGCCCCTTTCTACACAAACTACTTATTAATAATGCACTACCACTTTACTTGCCAATTGTGTGAGATGTCGGTTGCATAGTTTTCACAAAACAATTACAGCAACAGAGTCCAAATTTCGTGCCTTCAGGCCTGAAGTAAACGCAGACGCTCGATCGTCCGTCTGTCGATTATCATCTACAATAATACGTCTGCGCCAATGACGAAGCTCGACTTGCCTTTTTCATTGAGGAAAGTATGATCTAGCTCATATGGTTAGTAAAGCGGCATAATTAGTTCTGGACAAATTAACTTGAGTAGTCCAGTCCTTTTGAATATGCGGTGCGCATTCAGGCTGGGGAGTACTGTTGGGGATCGCGTAGAGGTTCCCTAGTTCTTGATGATTAAAAGCTGAATATCATAGTTTGCTTTGTTTTACCTCAGCTGCTGCAATCCTGTGACTACCTGTGACTACAGAACGTAAGACACGAAGGTGTAACCCTTTTTGTCCCATAAAAGGACTTAAAAGTAGTGAACAAAGCCCCAATGATCCTCGTTTCGCTCCGTGAACTTGAAGTTGGCTTCTTTGTTCCCTGCAGCTCAAACTCATCCAGCCACTTAGTCGTCACTTCCCACGGCTGTCATTTCGTTGCACCTACCAGGTAGGGGTAAAGATGGTTCATCATATGCCTGACTGGAGTCATTACATGACATGATACCAGCCCAGTACCAATAGTACATTTGTTGATCTTCACTAATTGGAGTGATATAAAGTGCTAAGTAACATTACATTATGTGTCGAGTAAGGGCTGTTTTGTAGCGAGGCAGTGAAGGATGCAAGGATGGACGGAAGTGGCTGATGATGGGATCGGAGTTGACGCCATCTATCTGGACTTCACTAAAGCTTTCGACCGCCTGGATCACCGCATCCTACTTCACCGACTACAGAGTTACGGAATCGGAGATCATATGTTTGGTTGGATTGGCAACTTTTTTCACCAACGGAAGCTTCAAGTACGCGTTAGGGGATCGCTCTCTAACCCGATTGAGGTGGCATGTGATGTCCCACAAGGCTCAAGACCGTGTTGATTTCTGGTGTTTATCAACGACCTGACAAGCGTTATCTCCTCAAATTTTCTGATTTTCGCCGATGACATCAAGACATGGCGGGCGATTAGGAACAATGAAGATGATGATCTACTCTAACATGACCTAGATTGCATTTATGAATGGTCAAAAAGGAACCTGCTTCAGTTGAACATAGCTAAGTGCAAGGTGATCCATCTGCGTCACTAGCCAGTGAGCGCTTACAAGCCTGGAGGCCACACCTTGCCGTAGGCCTCTCAAGAGCTTAACATGGGTGCACTAGTACAGGAAGATGTTGGGTGTTCAAGACAAGCAGATAAGGCGACGAGAACCGGCAATCAGCACTTCGGCCTGATTCGCAGAGCCTTCGGTCAGGTTTGAATCATCAATTTTTTCCCAAACGCTTAACGCCTACGTGCGATCGCACGTGGTATATGCTATACAGGCTTGGCAGCCGTGGCAGAAACAGGATCTCGCTGCTCTCGAGACTTCTCAACGAAGGGCAACCCAGAACCTCAGGGACCTCTCTCATCTGCCCTATCAGCTTAGAATGAAATCTCTAAGAATGTACAGCAGTCAATATCGGCTCTTGCGGGGGAATCTCATAATGGTTTACCAGATTCTGAAGAACACAAACCACATCTGCCGCCCGCTGCTGGAAATGAAACACAACACTAACCTAAGAGGTCATCCTCTGAAACTGACAATACAGTGTAGCCGGCTTGAATGCCGTAGAAATTTCTTTTCCTTCCGCGTGTTCCAACCTTGGAACGCCCATCCTAAGTATATCGTCTCTGCTCCCAATCTGATGACATTTGAAAAAGGAATTCACGATACTTTGTTTTATTTGCATTTCATGTTGACTTGTTTGCCAAGGGCCACTAAACGCAATCAAATGGTGTCTTACTAAACTCCCAACCAATGGGACTATGGATTTATACTTTTAATACGCGAACACTCCGCTATTCTACACAAGCCTATGGTGAGTCCACCAAAAGGCTTTTCGCTTTATCATGCAATTTACGTTTCACAATAATTTCCATCCCATGCGAAGTGTTAAGCATTACTCTTTTTTACCCGTAATACACCATCGTTCCATTGTTCTAATTGCATTGATGTTGGCTGAGCCTCACGTAACCCTGCGGTGAGGACTGGTTAGCTTGACTCACTTCTATGGAAGTACAATACTTCATGCAAGCATTTCACTTCATGAATTTCAGTATACCAAGAAGAAAGTACATTCTAATAGAAAATACTGAATTCAGTAGGTTCGCGTATTCTCCTCACCTGTTTACACACATTTTGTTTTGAACAGGTTTCAAATCAAAAGGTAATCAAAGTGTGATGTCATCGGCGAAATGTAAAGTGGTCGAAAGCCCTTGAGTTAACGTGATCTGATCAAACAAGAGACGATTACTAATCTCACCAGGGTAGGGAAAGGCTGTTCACGGAACCCGTTTTATTGCATAAACTTGGTTTCAGTTGTTGAATTGCCGAGGTCTCAGCGAAGACTACTTTGTCTGTTGCTTACTTTAGACTTATCACCTGGGTTTTGCCACAGAGGCTAATGAAGTATGTGGCGTACAATAGAGTTAGTGGGTAGCTTGGGGCCATTTGCGATCATATCTCGCGGGACATGCTCTGCAAGGTTTACTGACAGCCTTCTCTTAGTTTAGCCAAGGTACTTGCTACCGCAAGTACAGTTAGAGGTAGATGCACGTAGAGTTAACTTGACAGTCCGGTCTATGCAAAGGAAAGAAATTCTGGACCAGCCTCGCTCAAGCCTGGTGAGACTAGTGCTGGTCTCTTGTTTGACCGGATTACGTTAACTCCACGGCTTTCGACTGCTTTAAATTTCGCAGATAACATCACACTTTGATTCTAGTGGATATGAAACTTGTTCTCCACAGTACGTATGTACACCACTGAGGAGAATACGCGAAATTACTGAATTTAGTATATTCTGTTAGAATGTTTTTGCTTGCTATAGTTGAAGTGTAATTGTAACAATTTCTTGATGCTCTGGCCGTCACAAAGGATAATCAACGGTGCCCTATCTGCTGCATCAAGCAGGGTGGATAGGGGTTTGCAGGCTACTATTCAGGCCATCCCGTCTTCTTGTTCCGCTTTTTCATCTCCACCGTCTCGCTCCAACTTCAATTTTATCCCCTGTTTTCAAACCCCAATTCTTGACCATCCCCCACCTTGCTTCAGTAGTCACTTGTCTTTTAGTCCCAGCTTACACAATCTCAGTGCGTCGCTCCAATCCAGTCGACAAGTCCATATTCAACCAAGCGGACAACGTCAGTTCATCCGTTTCTCTTTTGGTCAAGAAATGTAAAACCTCACTTCAAAGTTGGTGTCGGTTGGTACATCCCGGCTATCTGAATGGGCTTCTAATGACGAGAAACACATTTAGTTAGACACACTTGTTGATATGACGAAAAGTCGGCCACAGTGGTGCTTGTGTTGTGAGTTTCATTCGTCCATCCCCTTCCCTTTAGGCTCTGCTCCAATCCCGATCTCATACAAAACGCATACTATGATATTTAACATCATATTACTTGCGTGGAATCATATGTTGTAATGTAATTTTTTAGCTTCTTATCTTATGTATTGCGGCACATTAGCTGAGGTACGTTTCACCCCCCAGCTAACGTGTATTGATGATGATAATGATGATGAAGAGGAATGAACTAGTGTACGCACGTCGGCTTAGTTGTCCAGTACAAAGGCATTTATATAAAGCACCGAGGAACTGATGTTGAGAAAGACGACGAATCTTTCTCTGACTCCATAACCGCAGCATATCTGCCTCGCTGTGGTCTGATTATGCAACACTAATTGAGATGAGTTGGCCACGTTCTAGGCCTGTCCAAGGAGCGATTATCACGTGGTGCCCTGCTTGAACATGTATCGATACACTGGAAGAGGCTGTGTGCAGGCTGGCCGAGCAATTCACGACAAGACATGAAGTTAATGACCTTTTGCCTAGCTATCGCTGACCCTGTACATCATTAAAGTTGCAAACGTTTTACCGTGAGGACCCCCTACACGTAGTTTCATAGATGTGTCGTGCGTGTATGTGCCAATGTAACTTCGGAGCTGCATTCACGCGGAAGGCGCTGAGTTGGTTCCAGGCAAAGGATGAAAAAGAATAAGAGGGGCAGACAATCAAAGAGACTTCACCGTATCGCATAAGC